ATCAAAATGGCTGCTGTGAAAAAGGCCTATTACTGACAGCAGTGAGGAATTCAAAATGTGAAGGATGAGTCACTTACAGGTTCAGCATCAGCATCCTCATTCAGATATGTGACTTTGTATTTGCTGTAAAGATCTCTTTTTTTCATGCATGTCAACATAAACCAGTCAGAAACCACAGGAACCTGAAGGAAAACACTCAAATTCTGTGTATCATTGTGTTTTCAGGGACAAAAAAAAGCCTCATATTTCAACTGAACATGTGTACTCACCAAACTGAGGAATGATAATGCGGCACCCAAGTTCACTATGGTCGGTACAATTCCAAATTTTCCTGCCTGCAACATAAAACAGACCCCAGGTTATATCAAGGTGAAGAGAACACACACATTTAGCTGATTAAGTCTTTTCAAATTTTGAGATTTGTTCAGGCCTCACAGTTCCAAATACAATGACGTCAAACCGGATCCCGTATGCTTTGATTAGGGTTCTCGTTTCCACTCCATCGGGGGTCTTGTAGTATTTTGCAAACCTATAAGCAGGCAGTTTTTTAATATTTTTTTCCCCAGCTTAATCTGTTTATTGATACCTGTTTGCTATAAATGGTTTCACCTGAAGTTGTATCCTGGGGCCACATTATTGACAGGATTTTTGTTGTCCAGCCTGCGGAAGCTGTACTTGGGGTAACACTTGCCTGCCCACCAGTCCAGGTCACAGCTCCAGTCAATAATAATGCCAAGGATACCGCCCTTTATAAACATAAAATAAAACCAACTGTGTTTAAGTGTAGACAAGTTCATACCTAAATCATGTGTGAAAGACCTGACAGCTGAAATTCAACAGAGATAATGGAGTGTGGAGGGGTAAATTATACATTAATGAACATTTTGATATAATATTGAATATTGAATTCTGAGCGTACCTTCACAGCCATGTCTTGAAAGTCCTCTCCAGCCTCTGAAACGATGTGTTTGAGGCGGAATATGGGGCAGTCAGGGTCTGTTGTACGACTGAATTCACACCTCTTCAGGTATGAGGAGTTAATATGTGGGAGTATGTTCCTTCTGGAGGAGGAAGGAAGACATATGTTCAATTTAATGGCACACAATAAAACAGCATGTTTGCATATACTGTACTGATAAGACCCATGCCTCTCTCCACACATCTTTCTTTTTACATTCAGAAGCACTGACCTGTGAAGATTGAACTTTGGGTATGTTACACTGTTCTTGATCAGCACAGTGAAGTTCTCTGCTGCAGCCAGCAGTGCTTGTCTGTGGGACAGGAAAACAGCATGCCAAGCTGCATGTACATTATACTATAATTACTTATAAATACTATAACATTGCATATACAGTACTCTTACTCAGGCAGCTTAGTGTCTATTTCAAGAGGGCACCATGAGAGCACTTCACAGGTCCGAACAGTCGTCGAATAGTTCTCACACAGGCCCGTCAGTATACCTGAGTAAAAAATGAAAATGAGTGTTTTCTGTACGGTCTCACATCATTTACAGCTGATGTATAAAAACATATCAATCTGATGCCACCCAGTGAGGAAGGCCTACCGTTTCCTCGAGGATCACTGTATCCCTCGATACAGTCACAATCATCCACACAAGTAGTTGATGGGTTTGGGAGCTGGAGGAGAAACCAGTGTTAATCTGTTGGCTGAGGTGACCCCGTCATATAGAAACAATATGAGGTGTAACATCAGATTGTTCTCCAACTGTTTTGACTGTTTCATCCTCATTAGTCACTAATGTTTCTGTGATGCTGCACTTTGGTGCTAAACGGTAACGTTGCATGCTAACATGCTTATGTTCAGCATGCATAACGTTACCAGTTAGTGTGTTAGCATGCTAACATTTGCTAATTAGCACAAAGTACAGCTGAGGCTAATAGGGATGTCATTAGTTTTGCAGGTATTTGGTCATAAACCAAAGTATTGAACAAATTGAAACTTTGACCTCATGGTGGCACCTTCACTCAAAACCAAATATGTCAGCTTAATGGTAGGGCTAGAGTAAAAGTAAGTTACAAGCAATATAAAGACTTGGCCTTGGGCTCTTTAAACTTGTGATAGACATTTAAAAAAGGTGTTTCTCACATATTAGACTAAATTAGTATCAATTCTTTGGGACAATAATAATTAAAATAATCATTAGGACTTGCAACCTTGAAAATCAACAAACAATGTTCACCCTAAAACTGTGTGAGCAGGAATATCTCAGGAGATCACAACACAATCACAACACAACATCAATCACTCACCTCAGGACATCGGGACTGAGTTTGAAGGGGGGTAATAACCATATTTGTTAACACAAAGAATGAGTGATCACCCTGTTAGACATAAGAGAAGCACAGATATCACAAGGGAATTAAATTATGTTACATTAGAGCAAACTGTGTAGAACAGTTGAACACAACATACCATATTATATACGTTGGTAATAACTTATAATAACTAAGATGGAGGGTGGTCATTAGGTTTGTGATTCTGTAATAAAGATGAAATATAGATTTAAATACCTGAGGTGGGATAACATAATCAGCCACATCCCAAAATCGGGGGTCCATGTCAGATGTATTGGTAAAGGCAAAACCTTTCACTTTAGTGGTGACGGTACTGATGACAGAGTCCGTCTCCTGGTAGGCCTTCTGCACCACACACACATACCTGCAGGTTTACAGCAGTATGATACTTTAACAACGCAATCAAATCGTAACAAATCAACAGGTAGCTCACTACAACAGCATTTCATGAAGTCTTTATAGCTTGACATCCACAACACAGTGTTCCACGTATATTCCCACATCAAAGCTTTTGGTTACTTACCCCACCACATACAGCACCACCAGAAGCTGGGTGAACCTGAAGACACATCCTACCCGTATGCTTGGAATAACCAGTGTTTTTGGTGTTTCATAATCAAACACATAATGCAGACAGCTCTGGCAGCAGCCTGCAGTCTTGCTCATCGCTGCACCACACACACACCAGTGATGGACTGTGCAATAATGATGAGTGGACATACAGTAGGTACTCTTATTCAAATCATTACATTCAAATCACATTCACTGCACAGACACGTCTCTGGCCTCAGTACGTTCTACCTGTAGCGGACTTACAGTAGGTTTAATTAAACAGTACAGGCTGGACAATAGAACTGTCTACATTTTCTGATCATACTGAAGTTGGTGAGTCAGAGGTGATTCAATGCAGCACTGTTACATAAAATAAGAACCTAAAGTTACATGTAACAATAGAAGAAGGAAAAGTAGAATTGGCAAGTACATGATTGGCAAATAATAACTGTAATGTAAATGAATATGTCTATCACTTTGATATTACAGTGACAAGGTTTACTCCTGTGGCTTGTATTTTAACATTGATATTTCTACTATATTTGTTTTGTAATTTTCATGTATGTATATAAGTAGCTAATAACATTTAATTTTTTTCAGGAGGAGGAGGAGGAGGAGGAGGAGGAGGAGATAGTGATACAGTGAACCAGCTCTGCCTGCCTCTCAGCTGTTACAGGCACTGATGCCAGGCTGGTGCTGCTGTTCCCATGCTCATACTTGGTGTTACAGTGTAACCCACCACATAACTTCATCATGTGACACTTCCTATGAAACACACAATTTAATGATTTCATATGTATGAACGGTGCATGACAGGAGGGTGAATTTGTCACTTTAAACATGCAAAAAGTGCCCTGCTGTGTTCTCCTCCAGTAATTTATCTACTGGTCTGAAGATACTCAAACTGCAGCAAACACTGACACTTTGTCAAAACTCGCCACACATTTACATGCCACTTCCAGATACTCACACTGCACTCTAACTGATTAAAAGGCTAGTAAAACTAAACGCTGAGGAAGGCACCAGTTCAAACATTCGTGCAATTATATTGTTATTGAGTATCTACACGAGAACTCAGTTCTCTCAATCTTATTACCACGTTGGGATTTTGTTTTTAATGTGTCAATATCAGAGATAGGGTATTTACATTTCAGGCGCACCATATTTCCGTAAATGTTGAATTGTGATCAGCTGAATGGTGGTGTGTAACAATAAGGAGACTCACAACCAACACTGATCTGGAGTTTTTAATTACATAACACACATTGACTTCCATGAAGACAGGACAGATACAATGTCACTTTGGTCCAATAGTACCTCAGATATAAAATCTGTAAAAAAAAGAACCATTTCAGTTCATACAGACACTTTGGCATCCCATTTGTCACTGGTGTAGCTTGCCTTCAATAAAATATTTTTCAACCCACTCGCTTTCAAGTTTCTTTAAGTTATGATGTCCATGTTGTCATATTCACACAGGTAAGAAAGAAAGGCTACAGTAGACTGTATACACAATATACAAATGAACATGATTTATATATATATTGAATATATATTCATTATGCAATGTTTTTTCCATTTGACAACATAGACACACATGGTAATTCATTAATAAAACTAATGATCTACAGTCATTATGTTTTGTGTTTCAGTGCTGAATTTTCAAGTACGATATGAAGGCATCTACAATGTATTGTATGTAGAAAAAAAAGAGATAAAGAAATAGTCAACATGAATGAAGCTACAGTGAAATGTAGACCAGGAAAACTGTTTATGTTCTCCAGTTAAACTCATCAGGATGAGGATGACACTTTGGGAAACCAGCCATCATCTTCACTCATCTGCCCATCTTTGATAATGCAATCGTTGTTTCTCACACACAGAATAACAGGCTCTACGCTCCAGCTTCATATAGAGCGTTCGTTCTGTTAGAACTGTTAAATTTAGGATGACTCATTGGACTAACTTCTGCATCGGGCGTAGTTAAATGACTGATGGTATTCAACAAAGCTACAAAAAAAAAAAAA